CAAGACAAAGGAAGATTTAAGTCAATCTTAGAGACATAGTACAAGAGATTGGGTTTGATACATACAAAAAAAAAAGGTAGAGAGATTCCTTTCAAATCATGGGGTTTATGGAAGTAACATTAAATAGTAGATTCCATTCAGATCAATGGATATGACGAATTTTGGGGACCCAAAAATGGGACTGTATGTTCCATTGACATGCCCTAACCTAGAAAAAGTTCCTCACCCCAATTTCCCACTACCATTAATCCCACCATGAATACATAATATCAAAGATATTCCCTGATAAATGGGGACTCCACCATCCATTCCCCATATAAGATTTGACATATCACAATGCTTTGTTTGCTACACATTATAGTGAGAATGCTCAAATGCATATGCAACGAGCCTTAATTGGGTATGCACATGTTATGGTGTTAACCTCTTAGTATCCAGTAATCACATGAAGTCCCGACTAATATGAAATCGAGTCGCGTAGGACCCTATTAGGGGAGAAGCTTTCCTGGTGTTTGTTTTTCCATTTACAAGAGTCAAACTCGAGATCTTACTTAAAGGGAATCGAACTCCTTCCACTCGGGTCAAGAGGTCGTTAGTGGCATACACCTGTTATGCATCAAGAGACTTGTTTGCTAGCACATTAGCAAGATTGTCCCGTTGCAAATTAAAGTCATAGTAAGGTTGTCTAGCATAAGTTGGGTGGTGGGGGTCACCTTTTCATGTATATTCACACTGATGCGTATGCGCACCTTAAATATATGAAATTATAAATGCATATATTTTATGAAAAATATATTTATTAGTTTGACCTTTAAAAAATTAGATGAAAAAACATCCTAAAATTAAGTTGTTTTAATAAAAAAAACATTATGAAAAAAAGACTATAAATAGTCTCTATTCATATCTTGAAAATATGTTATTTTAGTCATCTTTTCTTGATGTGTTTTTATTGAAAATCACATAATTTGAAAAGTTTATCTACCTAATTTTTAGTAAGCGCGGTAGATAAATACTAATCATATCAATATCTACATATATATAAAAGAAAAAATTTTTATCAGTCATATATGCTTAACAAATATTTTACCATAAAATATATATACAAGAATTATATATTGTGAAGATAATTATTAAAGACTTAAGCTCTATTTTATTTAACAAATGGGGAAATTGATAATAATAACTACTCATTTAAAAAATTTCTAAACTTGTATATATTATGTCAATTACTAAAACCAGCCACTAGCCAGTATAAAAGTTAAGGTGTTAGTTGTTTTGGTGAATTTCAAAATTGATGCACAAATTCATGGATCCATCAATTGGAGAGAATGTGTTGTGTGAGGATTTTGTACGCCATTACTTGATGTTTTGGTGGATTTCAAAATTGATGCACAAATTCATGGATCCATCAATTGCAACGCTAGAAGAGAAAAAGTGTACCTAATTAAGATCCTGCTAGTTGGAAAGGATGGAATGAGGGGGCCATTCTTCCATCATGTCTTTGGACCCTAATTTCAAAAGTGGGTCACCTCTCCCCTTTGCTCTTCTGGTCTTCTTGAAACCCCTGCTAGATTGTTTTGACCCATCTTCATCCCCCACCCCCTTTTTTTTTCTTTTCTACTTTTAACCACTAAAGCTGGCATGGAGTACTATTTAAATATTTTCCAACTTAACTAATAATATTTGGAAAAAAAATATTTATCAATCTAATTTTTAAAAAATTTTTAAAAAATATATTTTTGAATTACGTTATTTTAATAAATTTTTATTAAAAATTAAAATAATATATTTTTAAAATTAGAATGAAATTGTTCTAATCTTTTACTATGATACTCAATTAAAACAACTTAATTTTTAGACTTGTTTTATTTAATTTTTAGAGATTTGGCTAATAAATATTAATTTTTTTTAATATTTTTTAATTATATAAATATTCAAAATTTTTACCGAACTGACTAATATTCTGTCGCATGTTAAAATTTTTTCCAATTTACGTTGTCTTTACTCATTAGCAGTTTCTCCCACTAAAGATCTACTAAAGACAGCCAAAAAATGGAGAACTTTTATTTTACAAAACAGTAGACATTATTGTGATCTTTTTAATTGTGTGGGCTTGGAACAATCTCATAGGGATTAATCTGAAGACAGTGCACACCGAAGCCCAATAAAATCCTTGATCAATTTAAACATGCATTAAAGTTCATAATTCGAAATTCAAACCATTTTAGGCATAATTTGATGATAGTGTCTTGGACTTCCCTCAAGTAGCTAGCAAAATGACTGTACGGTACTAATGCTGTATAGAATGCTCCCTTAAAGGATGCCCAAACCATTCAAAATCATAGTGCACTAACCATATCAAATTTGCCAATCAGTCTGCATGTCTCAAATAGTTATATTTCTCTTCTTTTTTTTCTTCTTTTTTTTCTCTTTTTGAACATGGAGAATTATAAAGAAAGAGTAATTTTTTCAAAAAATTAGTAGAAGTAAAATTTTTTATCCAACTCAACCTAAATATTTATGGTTTAAAGACAAACCATCGTGATATTAAGTTTAAATAGTTATATTTCTCTTAAAAAAATAAATTGATAATATCTTTAATGACATAAGATTCAAATATTAAATTTAACACTCTATTTTTAAAAAAATAATAATTAGTATTATCAATATAATTATCATTTATCACTTAAAAAAAATCACATTGCACAAACCATATACGAATTTTGGATTAGCAACCAATCAATCATCACATTCACGTATACACGACGTGGCCAAGGAAAAAGGACCACCTGCCAGCACATGATTCACTGACCATGTGTCAGACCAGGCACGATCGTGGCAGACATCTTGGTGTTTGGAGAGACCACAGGTGGTAGTACTAAGGACGCAAATCGAAATGGTAGTTGCTATTCATATGTCCCTGTACACTTTGGACACAAGACTTTAATTAACGATATCAAGTTCCAATCTTGAAAAAGCGATTTAAACCAGCGTAGGAATGCATTTCCCTTTATGTGCGACTAGTAATTATGGTCATTAATTTTTTTTTTTTTTCTTTTTTTCTTGTGATGATACAAGAGCAAAGCTTCAAATGTATCCAACATCAATCATCAACATGATATAAAAATTAGTTTGCTCAAAGCGAGTTAGGTTGTGAACTTGAGGTTGAGTCAAGGAGGCTTTGGAAGGAGATAAAGCATAAAGCTGGGTTCTTCATGCATGAGAATTGAGAAATGAAAAAGAAAAGGAACAAGAAAAAAGGGTGGGTTATGCTCCCAGCTTGAATGGGCGCATGTATAGATCCTGTGAGTCTGTGCATCTGAGACAGGGGCATGAAACACAGAAAAGAATGTTTCTGCGATCCCGAGGAGGAAAGTTGAGAGCACAAACATTAACAGACAAGCAGATTGCCAGATATTCACACTAAAGATGCCAACTCCTAAGGCCTCCCCTTTTTTCCATAATAAAGGAAACACGCAAAAATAACAACACATCTCACGCATATCTTATGAAACAGGGAATGTTAAAGAGAAGCAATAAAGTGTAAAAGAAGCCTTGGCAGTTGGCACATGTATGGATCCACCACTAAGGTACATGTTATTGAAAGGTATTCCTCCTCCTTTACCTCTCTCCTACCTTAAGGAATCAGATAGAAATTTATGCAGCCAATATTTGTCAAGGAACAGTTCAAAAAAATGAAATACTGTGCTTGTCAGAAGTAGTTTTACCCAATCACCATTTGTTCTTATGATTCTTTAAAAAAGACAGTCAATGCCAGAGCACCATTTTAGTGGGGACATCAAATGGAGAAGATGATGAATGATTAGCTCACGAGGTGTGCCTCAACTAATAAAAAATTTGAAATTTCAAAAGGAAGAACTAAAGTTAGGAGGATTGTCATATATATATATATAGAGATTATTAGGAGGATTATCATGTATATAGGTTATTATTAGTTAAATACCAAAAATAGAAAAACATTTGTGTAATTTAATTTATTAGATGAAAAATAAAGCTCTTGATATTAATAATTGTTTTATTTCCTTATCTGATAATAATATTTCTTATTTTACACGTTAAAATGTTTAAAAAATAAAGAGTTTATTTATTTTATATCTTTAAAATACAAAATAAAAAACTATTATTAAATAATAATTATAATTTTTTCCTTAAAAAATATAAAATTTTATATTAAAAA